ATAATTCTTGTATTTGATATAGCGCCTTATCCTGTCGTTGAGACATTATCCCCAGAAAGTGATCCGCCAATCGACTAATAACCGGGTTCCTACTTACTGCAAGGTAAACAGAGGCACTGTTGGAGTAAGAAAACTTGCCTAAAGTTTCCCCCACCCGGGAATTGAACCCGGGTCCTCTCGCTTGGGGGGCAAGTGCTCTAACCACTAGGCTGCGGAACTCCACAAGCAGAAATGAGAATCCAGTGATCAAATAGGTTTATAAGATTTCCATTCAGTTTATGGTGTACTAACAACCAACATAAAAGGTGGAATAAACAGTGGAAAGCTGTCTCTTGCCACTTCCTCCAATAAAACATCCTATTATTGCTTGATTAATATTGTACAGCACCTGTGTAACTGCTCTGTTTGTTGGCCAAATTACTGACATTGCATCAAAGAGTGCCATCTGCTATTGAAAAAAATCTTTGACATTTAGTATTTCAGCGAATACTCAACAAAGGTTTTTGAAGAAAAGCACTCCACGACTGGGCCCTGTCTGGTCTCTAATAAGACCAGGAAAGAGAAGTGGTCCTGCTCACTGTTGTCACCAGAGACACCCTCAACGTTGCGAAACACAATCCGTACTCTCTCACAAAGTGATGGGATGATTCCTCCTAACAAAACTTTAAAGACATCTTGGGAGTTTTTTTCTCTCACAGGTAATAAATGGACACGACCAACATCAATAGCATTGAGTGCTACCAACTGAACCAGGTTGACACACCCTATAAATATTATAGAATAATATTTGCTCATTATCTGATTACCTATTCCTTCACCCATTTTTCATTCAGTGCATCTCAAACTGTCTAACGACTTTACCTCATTGCCTCACGGCACATCTTCATAATAATAATAATAATCCTTGCATTTGATATAGCGCTTTTCACGTCGGGAGGACGTCCCAAAGCGCTTCACAGAACACACTGTAAAGTGAATTGACTGTATATTTGTGGGTGAACGCGGCAGCCAATTGCGCACAGCAATGTCCCACAAACAGTCGTAGATTGAAAATGACCAATTTATTATTGTTTTTGGTTTTGGAGGGATTATTATTATTATTATTATTATCGTTATTCATCTTGGCTGTTTTCATTTTTACCACTTTCTTTGATCACCCAGGTGTCTGACACATGTGGAAACCCATCACTGTGCTTAAGAGTATCCAAACCAAACTGAGAAGGTTTGGATACTTTTAAGCATGGTGATGGTACTCCCCATGTGTCAGACACCCAGCTGACCAAAAAAAAACTCTTCTCTTCACTTCAGTTATACCAAGGCAGCGAAGACAAGTGGGCACAGGTTGAAGGCTGTGAAGCCATTTTCAAGATAGACAAAACAAGAAATATTTCTTTAAACTGGTACAGTACAGACTAAATGTAAGGTACAACTTTTTGCCAACCTGCATCAACCCTAACATATGAAGAACAATGGTTTACAATGATATTTCTGTCACCCACACAGTCAGTATCGTAGAACCTTATATTAAGTACATTAGTACATTAAGGCAATGGGTTTGTGCTGTGAATTTATCAGATTCAGTGACTGTATCCTCAGTTGAAGTTGTTGTCTTTTAGAAAAGATGTTAAAGCAAAGATCCATCTGTCTGTTCAGATGGATGTCAAAGATCCCATGGCACTATACAAAAAAAGCGTTTTTCTGTGGTCCTGGCTATCAACCCCCCCAAATAAAATTAATCATTCACTCCATGACTATTTCTGGGATATTATTGTCTGCAAATTGTCTGTGCTGGTCACCTACAAATACACAGTAACTACATTTTACAGTAAATCCAAATGCTTTGACACCTCTCCAGAACTCCATACCTCACCCCCTCTGCCTCACCCCCTTTTTATCCATCTTTGAATCCCACCTCGATCTTATCTCTTCAACTATGCTTATGGTCACCTCCCCCTTCTTCCTTGCTTGGTATCCAACCCTGCCAGCGTTCTGAGACGCTATCCTATGTGAGGGGCACGATATAAATGCACGTTGTTGTGGTGTATCAAATACAAGGATTATTATCGTGAGCTTCAGTGGAATGAGACTAAGATTAACCAAATTAAAATCTTCAGTAGCCCCCAAAAGAGACATCCACCACCATCTGACTGACGATTTGATGCCAGGTGTTAAGTCTTAAAGGAGTTTGATTGTAATGTGCCAACCAATCTTACACACAATCTAAGTAGTATAGAAGATGGTTAAGGTTTAACCTTTCCCTCCAGAAAACACAAACACCTTGATTGACATTCAACGCCCAAATCAGAGCAACACTGGATCTTAAAACATGCATTTTGTCTGTTCTGCAATTAACAATTGACGTCCCAACGCAGCACAGCACATGAATCAGTCAGTCATATTTCTCACAGAAGCCAGACAATTATCAAGGTTTGAATGAACAAACTTGAGGTGCGGACTGGATGCACCAAATGGCCTCTCTCTGTGCCCTAAATCTCGATGATTTCATGAAGGGCGCGATTGATGGCCAGTTAGTAAATGTACCTATCTTGGCAACATGGACTTACAATAGGAAAATCCTACACCACCAAGGTCAATAAACATATAGGCCAGCTGAACGTACTTCTTCCCTGTTGCCTCCCACTGGGGATGTACACTCACGAAGGAACCTGCGTTCTGCCTGCATAGAGCACGTTTTCTGTGCATAGCGGACAATGGCTTCAAGTCCTTTTGTCCCTCCTTCCAGCTGGAGAACATGCAGCATGAGCAGATTTTTTTTCACGTATGTGAACCCTGTGTGCAGGTGGGAAAGGGGTGGGAGGAGATGAGGGCGACATTTGAATTGCTGATACATTAGTCTGTAACACACACCTGTGTCCCTTTCTTGAACTCGATACAATCTGCGTTTTACAAAAGATTACAACTATCTCCATCAGCAGCTGACAGGTCGAGGCTTTTAAGTAGTTTCACATGGAAACCGATCCAATCCTTTTTTTTATTTGCTTGCGCAGCTTGCATTTCAGTGCTTTAAAAATAATTGTACAACACCTTTCATTCACACATGTTTGTGCCTTCACACACAGGTTTAGAAATGTAATTGGTCCCCTGGGATAAAAGATAAGAGTACAACTAAAAGATTTTCCCTGTTTTACCATCCTTTCCAAATTACAATATTGTATTGTAAAATGTCATAATCTTTTCAGTCAAAGTTTTAGGAATTAATTGATTTATCGATGTATTTTGCAAAGTGGTTAGTGTGTGTGTGTGTGGGGGGGAGGGGGCAGGAGAGAGCTTGATCAGCTTTGATGCCTTTTTTCACTCTTTCACATCTATGTATTTATACGTTTACTTTCCTAAAACACAATTACAACAGTAAGTAAGAAAGAATAAAATAATTCTTACATTTGATTTCACTCCTATCATGTCAGGAGAATGTCTCAAAGCACTTCATACGGTTACTGTAAAGTATCGTGACTGTGTTTTGTGGACGAACGCGGCAGCTAATTTCCATGCAGCAATATACCCCAAACAGTCGTGATGTGAATGACTGATTTTATTTGGGGGGATTATTAGCCACAACTGTGGGAGAAACTCCCTTCTCTTTTTGAAGAAGCATTTCTGCAGTGAGGCTAATTGTTTCTGAAAATAATTTAATGAGACGATGCTATGCCAATATCAGGATGTGACAATGAACCATTTTCCAGCAGCACAGACCTACTGCATTTTATTATACAAATTCCCAAATAGCTCAAGGACTCAATTTTTAATGTCCTGAAATCATATTTTGTGTATCAACTGTCCAATACGAGGACTAACCATATTTAATCACTCCAACTTTCCCTTGCACCATAACGTATGCAGATTCCTGTAAATGCATGCAAGTCTGCTGCAGGAGATGAGCAAATCTGGACCTGCAGAAGTGAAGGCGACGTGCCAGGAGGTAAATCCACCAGGTTCTGTCGTGTACACAGACAGACAATAGAATAGTGTAGCTATAATAACAGGATCTACAGATCGGCTTCTAATGACATTAATATAATGATTAAAAAGTAATAATACAATGTGGGTGGTTATACTGCTTCCTACCCCCCATTTACGTAGTTGAGATAAAGGAAAAACAATTCTTTCACCTCTCAAAATGTTGACACAAAAAAAAAGGCTATTTGATAAGACACCTGCTCTTGCAGTTCCAAGGTGAATTCACTCGTAAAAAGTTAAGTTTCTTCAGGAAAAACACCTTGCTCCGCACAAAAGTTCACTAAATATTTCCACATCCTGGTTTCTTTCCTCAATTCTATTGGAACATTAAATTTGAATTACTGACGGGAAGACAATCCTCAAAAAGAGCAAAATAAAGAGTCATTTCCCACCAAACTTGCAACTTGCTGCTGAACATTTCCCTTATGCAAAAAGGGGCACTGCTCAGAGGCTGTATAACATGAGGCTGAGTGACCAGCTGTTAGCAAACCCTTTTGATGCACCATCTCCCCAACCACAAGTAACTTGGGGTCTCAGATGCTGCTTATTCATGCTGCAATTTCAAACTTTTCCAGACAAATCCTTGGTTTTACTGTATACGCATTTCATCCAAATCCATATTGTAACATTCAGAATAAATGGCAGCTGAGATAAACGTGCTGCCACATTTACCGACTGAACAATATTTCACTTCATTTCAAATTGTTCTCATTCCATGAAGTGCTTCGAGAAGCTTGTTTAAGGTGTACTTAAATGCGTTATTGTTGGAAGGTTTTTTTCCCCCCGATACCAATAAAAGTGAACTGCTTTCAGTCAAAGGCCTTTTGAAGTTTACTTGCAAGATTTGTACGTTTGCTATTACAAGAATTCTTCGGTGATCATTTATCTATTTATATATTTTTGTTCTTTGTGTAATACTATTATTTGCACAATATACAGTAGATATAAAATACAGATAAAGCCTGAGTATTGAACCAGAGAACCCTCACAATACAGGGAAGAACCAAATAATTTTATGCACGTACCTCAGCCGAGCCAAGACTGTCTGCAAAAACATGAGTGATGTGTTTAGTTCAGATTCCCTGCAAGCAGGATACAACAAACTAAAGCCTTCGTTCAACAGCTTTTCTTCTGAAAGGTGCAGGTAGGAGCTGGTCTCAAATACTTCCTGGACGGCATCCATGTATGTGGAAAGCAAGGTCCACAGGGTCACTTTTCTTGTGAAGTCAGTGGTTTTCAAGTAGAATTCTTTGGCAACTTTCTGAAAGGCATCCGAGAGTTTAGTAGCAAGAAAGCTGACGTCGATGTTCTTCTCCTCATACATCAGAAGAAAGGCGAAACAACCCCTCCACATCAGTGATCGCTGGGTCACGGAGAGCAAGCTGGGGTTTAGAAGGTCCAGAAGATCAGATACTCGGCTGACAACGTCTTCCATCTCAGCCACAGCTGAAAGCACCAGGAAGAGGCTGATAAAGTTCTGAAGGCCCATCTCAGAGAGTTCTTGCATTTTCCGCTGATGGAACTTGGAATAAATCCTAAAAAAATTAAAAGAAATGCTTGAATAGTTTCATTCAGCAGAAAGGATACACCCAGAACTGGGATTCTCAGTACAGCCGTACAGATGAGCATCTTTGTGATAGTCATAGAGTCATATAGGATCATAGAATTTTAAAGCACCAGAAGGAGGCCATTTGGCCCATTGTGTCTGTGGCGGCTCTTTGAAAGAGCTACCAACTAATCTGACGCCCCCTTATTTTTGGCAGGTTATTATCTCAAATTATTATGAGCTCAAAATAATCATCATCTTTGCAATTGATCTAGTGCCTTATCACGGCAGTGAGACTTCTCAAAGGGCTTTACAGGATATACCGTATGTATTTTGTGGGCATAACGCGCCTATTGACTTTGTTGAGACATTGCAAAGGTCTTCAAGGATTTATTGTAAAGTGTAGGGGCTCTGTATTTGTAAGGGAACAAAACGTAACAGTAAATTGGCACACAATGTCCCACAAACACCAATGAAGTGAATGACCATTTCTTTTGTGTGGGATTGTTGGCCAGGACACTGGGAGAAACTCCCTTCTGTTTTTAAACAATGCCATGGGCTTTTCTCTGGCAACACCTCATGCCATTCTCCAGCCAAGCAGGAAGGCTGCCCCAAGGCTCTGTTGTGAATAACACCATGGGTTCGTAAACATCCACTTGACCAGGCACAGAATTGATCTGTTTAATGTTCTGACGCATTTGATCACATTGTATTTACTACATAATATCCTCTGTTATTTCATACCAGTGTTACTGCATGACAGTAAGAAAGAGCTTGCATTTTGATTGCTCCTTTTATCAATGTGTCAAAATATTTAAAAGCACTTAACAAGTAAGCACTGTCTGGTATGGAGATCAATGTTTTGTAGATGGTGGAAATGCTCTCATGCTGTTCATGGCGAGTTGTGCTGCTCATTAGAAAGCTCACAGGGTGTTCCTAGTATCTGCTATCTACCTAGTCAGGGCTCAAACCTGCCTGTGTCAGATATCAAATGACTAGCCCAAATGGGAGAGACTTCCTTCTCTTTTTGAATAGTGTGATGAGGTCTTTAATATCCACTTGAAGGACAGGCAGACAAGACTTTGGTTTAATGCATCATCTAAAAGGCTCCACCTCTGACAATGCAGTGCTTCCCCAACAATGCATTGGAAAATCACCCGAGACTATGAGCTCATCCTCAACATGGCTTCATCCCACAACCTCTGCCCCAGAGGTGTGAATGCTTACTGAGCCAGTACACAGATGATAAGCACCTTTTCTTTCCAGGGTAATTAAAAGTTCTGCTGTTAAACGGGGAAAAGGAAGAGAGGGGAGAAGACTCTCCAGTCATTCAATACATCTTGTTTTGCAAATAACCCCACCTTCCTTTCAGCTGTTTCCATGGGTGAGTTCCACTTGTCTCTTTCCCTTTCTTCATCTGCAGGGCCAAGATTCGGAGGAAGAACTGAAAACTGTTCTCAGACTGGTATAAGTTGGGACTCTGGTCTCCACAGCAACAGATCTTTGTCATTTCAAGCATAGAAAAAGGGGATTTACTCACACTGGCCAGTCCTTTCAAACCCAGCCAAGGAATGTTGAAGGCACCGTTCTGTGACAGACAGAAGAATGCAATGGGGTGAACAATACTGAGGGCATCTAACTGCCCCCCACTGAATAGAAAAGTTATTCAATGAGTGACCTGACCCCATAACCCACAACTGACAAAGCTTTTAAAATATGCACATCTTTTCTTTAGCAGAATGTCTACAAAAAATAAAGCTGTAACTTTCTAAATAAGGCAGGTTTGAATGGTGTGGAGGGCCAAGCAGCATTTATTTCACTGGTAGGGTGGCATGTTTCTAAAGTAGCTTGTCGTTTTTCCTCCCATTTTGGCAGCATTGAAAAATGTCTCTTCTGTCCTCAAAGTGCACAAGCTACACTGGGAACACGTTGAAGTGGCTCAATTGATAGTACAAGCTTTTCTGACCCAAATATAAAACCATTTGCAATTGAAACAGGTATCAATTCAGCAAAAGGAACCATCCAGCAAAATGAATCATCTAGCAAAATGTACACAAAGAGTGAATATGTAGAATGCCACTACCAAGGATTGAGGTGAATGCAGATTGTCTCGACCCTGCACGAGGAGTAATATATAAATGCAAGTTATTGTTGTTGTCTTTAAGTTAGAGACGGAATTATATAGCTATTTGATGACCAATTCAATTGAGGAGAATGAGAGGAGTGATATACGAGTTATGTTTATTTTTATGTTCTAACCATTAAAAGCCAGATAGTCTATTCTGTAAGTTTTTAACTGGACTGCTAACTGAAAAACATTATGATTTACTTTCAAACCACAGTTCTCTCCCATGTGTCAAAAAGAATGTTATTAAAATAAAAAATAAAAATTCTACTACTCCAAATATTTTCAGTAGTTGCAATATTTACATCACAGTAACTGTTTCTATCAATTAATAAGTTGATTAGTGTTCATACTTACTAGATGCTTACTATAATACTCCCAGAGTGTAGTGACAGTGGTTAGATTGGGATCCCAGAGTTCACAAAGAGTTAGGCAGCATTGAAGGTGCATCCGCAAGTGTTCTTCCAAAACACCAGCCTGACATATTCAGTACAGGAGAGACGATCAAAACAAGTCACAGACATGGCTTATGTTCACTGAAAGTGGACAATTTCTGTACGCTATCACAGCAGCTCAGCAATCATCAGTACTCAAAAAACATCAATCAGTTTTGATCTAAACTTATCTTTACAATGCTCAAATTATTGTCCCAACTAGAAATCCTTAGCTTAAGCTCCTATTAAGACTTAAAAAATATTATGCCTACGTCCTATTGTTGTACAATCATAGTCCAAGGGAAACTAAATTCCACACGTTATTCATTCTTTTCAGTATTTTAGAAATCTCAAATGTCTCCTCTCAACCTGCTTTAGTTATGAGTTCACTCATAAATATGTTTAAATCATTCCAACCAAAATACAGGTGCGTATACTGTATATGTGTTTAAAATAAGATATTAAAACAGTGGAAGCAATCAAATTATTCAGTACAACAAAGACTATTTGTAAAACAACCCCAATCAGCCAACAAAAAACTTGCTTACAAGTGGCTTGTAAATGAATGTAGTATTTATGGATGAATGTACTCCTAGACAATTACACTCCACAGCAGAGGAAGCATCAGCGCTAACGAAATAATAATCCTTGCATTTGATATAGCGAAATAGGGTGCTGTCCCAAGACTGAAGCATAGGAACATAGGAATAAGGAGCAAGAGTAGGCCATTCGGCCCCTCAATCCTGCTCCGCCATTCAATAAGATCATGGCTGATCTTCTAATCTAACTCCATCTGCCCACCTTATCCCATATCCCTTAATCCCTCTATCCTTTAGAAATCTATCAATCTCAGTCTTGAATATGTTCAAGTACTGAGCATCCACAGCCTTCTGGGGTAGAGAATTCCATAAATTCACTACCCTCTAAGTGAAGAAATGTTTCCTCAACTCTGTTCGAAAAGGCTGACCCTTAATCTTAAGACTATGACTCGTAGTTATAGATTCTCCTACCAGGGGAAACAGTCTCACATTGTCTACTCTGTCAAGCCCCATAAGAATCTTATACGTTTCTATAAGATCACCCTTAATTCTTCTATGTTCTAGAGAATATAGGCCTAGTTTACATAACCTTTCCTCATAGGTCAACCCCCTCATTCCAGGAACTAACCTAGTGAATCTATGCTGCACCCCCTCTAAGGTGAGTATGTCCTTTCTTAAATAAGGAGACCAAACCTGCACACAATACTCTAGGTGTGGACTCACCAAGGCCCTCTACAGTTGCAGCAAGACTTCCCTACTCTTGTATTCTAATCCTTTTGCAATAAACGCCAATATGCCATTAGCCTTCCTAGTTGCTTGCTGTATCTGCAAACTAACTTTTTGGGACTGGTGTACAAGGACACCGAAATCCCTCTGAACACTAACACTATCCAGTCTCTCCCCCTCTAGAAAATAATCTGCTTTTCTGTTTTTGCTACCTAGGTGAATAACTTCACACTTCCCCACATTATATTCCATCTGCCACCTTCTTGTCCACTCACCTCGCCTATCTATACTCCTTTGCAATCTTTCTGTGTCATCCTCAGAGCTTTCTCTCCCACCTAGCTTAGTATCACCTGCGAATTTATATATTTTAAATTCTATGTCCTTGTCTAGATTGCAAATAGTTGAGGCTCAAGCACTGATCCTTGTGGCACTCACTAGTCACATCAGAGAAGGACCCGTTTATCCCTTCTCTCTGTTTTCTTCCTGTTAGCCATTCTTCGATCCATGCTAATATATTGCCTGTAATTCCATGGGCCCTAATCTTGTGTAGCAGCCTTTAATGTGGCACTTTGTCAAATGCCTTCTGAAAATCTAAATACACTAAATCTCCTGGTTCCCCCCTATCTAACCTGCTGGTTACATCCTCAAAAAACTCTAAAAGATTTGTTAAGCATGACTTCCCTTTTGTTGACTCTGCATAATCATGTTATGATTTTCTAAGTATCCCACTACGATGTCCCTAATAAGGATTCTAGAATTTTCCATACCACCGATGTCAGACTGACTGGTCTATAGTTCCCCATCTTCTCTCTCCCACCCTTCTTAAATAGTGGTATTATGTTTGTGATCTTCCAATCAATGGGAACCGTTCCAGAATCCAGAGAATTTTGGTGATCAAAAACAAGGCATCCACTATCTCAGCAGCCACCTCTTTTAAAACCCTAGGATGCAGGCCATCAGGTCCAGGGGATTTGTCATTTTTCAATCCCAACAGTTTCCCTAGTACTAATTCTTTACTGATGTTAATTTCCCTAAGTTGTTCACTACTAACATTAGTTTCTTGGTTCCCTTCTATTTTTGGTAAATTTTCAGTGTCTTCTAACGTGAAGACAGAAGCAAAGTATTTGTTTAATGACTGTCATATCTTTATCCCCCATTATAATTCCTCCTGTCTCTGCCTGTAATGGACCCACATTCACTTTTGATAGTCTCTTCTCTTTATGGATTTGTAAAAAGTCTTAGTCTGTCTTTATGTTCCTAGCTAGTTTGCCCTCATAATCCATGTTCTCCCTCCTAATCAGTTTCTTGGTTTTCCTTTGTTGGTCTCTGAAGCCCTCCCAATCCTTGGGTTTACTGCTCTTTTTGGCAGTATTATAGGTCTCTTCTTTTAATTTTCCCTAACTGCTCTAGTTAGCCATGGTTGAACCACTTTTGCCGTGGTGTTTATATTCCTCATGGGAATATGTGATCACTGGGAATTATGTACTATATCTTTAAAGGTTTGCCACTGCTGGTCTACAGTCATATCTGTTAATGTAATTTCCCAGTCTATTTTAGCTAAATCCTCTCTCATACCTGCAAAGTTGGCTCTATTTAAATTTAAGACCCTTGCTTCGGACTTAACTACATCACTCTCTAACTTAATGCTAAATTCCATCATGTTTTGGTCACTCTGACCTTGAGGAGCCTTAACTTCCAGATTGCTGATTAGTCCTATTTAATTTCATAAAACAAGATTTAGGATTGCCTGTTCCCTGGTTGATTCCTCAGCATACTGATCCAGAATACTATCTCTAATGCATTTTATAAACTCCTCCTCTAACTTACTTTTGCCAGTTTGGTTTTCCCAATCTACATAATGATTAAAATCACCCACTATTAGTGTATTTCCTTTGCTACATCCGCCACTAATTTCCTGGTTAATACTCTGCGCAATACTGTGACTGCTGTTAATAGGAGCAAGGAAATCAAGTCCAAGCTCTCCACACCTGAATTCTTGTTTGTGTGCATCTCAAATACAAGGATTATTATTATTATCTCAGATTAATCCAATACACATTTGAGGAAGAAATATATTAAATGAGAGCCACGCAATTACATATGTAAGGAATGATGCTGTATGAGATTTTCACATATCTATGTTGTGACACATGTATATGGAAGCTGTCTAAAACGTGGCATAAAGCATAAATGTTACAAACCTGGCTGGGGCAGGATAGCTTCAGAAGTTCCTCTACAAATTTCCAGTTGTTTTCCATTGGTTTCTGATTAAGATAAATACATAGAAGCACATCAATATAATGCTGTATCTTCCAGTTTATTATAACAATAATAATCCTTGCATTTGATATAACACCTTTATCACATCATCAAGACATCTCAAAGTGCTTTACAGGATTTATTGTAAAGTATAGTATGTGTAGAAACCCTTATGGGAATAAATGTCTTTTTGGAAATAAAACATGGTTGTAGACTTAAATATGTTTGGTAAGTTAGAATCATTTGATTAATCGAAGGTAAGAAAGCCAAAAGAAAGTATGAATGCTGACTGTATTCACTCAGTAACACATGATCAAAGTTTCATTAGCAAAGAAAAAAACTACTGAAAATGAAATGTAGCAGCTCCAGCCAAATAATTAGTTTGGAGAATGAAACTATATGGGATCATTTGCATTTAGACAGATCTCCATGATCTTTAATTACCTTCAATGATGAAGATGCTTGACGTACCAGATCAGATACTGAGTGTTAAGTCACTAGCTATGTGGGAGATGTAGAACAGCAAATTATTTGAAAACACCTCAAAATAACTTTATTTACACATATTCTAGAACTCAAATTGTTGATGTCTGTCCTGCGCTCTGACTGCTTGAAATTACAATGATGTGGTGTGCACCACCTGTAGAGATCTCCCAGGATCCTATGGCAGTCTGAATAATAGACAGATTTGATATATATCATTACATTGATATTTTTAAAACTTCATATATGTATGCATTATTCATATATAAAGGACAAATTACGTGTTCAAATAGCGTCATGCCCAGCACGCACCACGCGAAGCAGACCAAGCTAAAGAGCATAATGAAAAGTAACATTTTGTCACCTACCAATTAATTGCAAAGGGAAAACGTGAGGCAAATGGGGGTAGGAGGATTGTAACTAGAAGGATGAAAAAGGTAGCCTTGGAACAGGACTAGGACAGGCCAAATCACGATACACAGCAGGAGCATTTTTGAAAGCAAACTGGTAATAGGAGGGATATTGGCTGAGTCAAAAGCCTAATTTGGGTCCAGAGAATAAAAGATGTGAAATATTTTTGGGGTGGATATAATTGAATGTAATCACCAATAATAAAATAATCCTTGCATTTGATATAGAGCCTTTTTGTCATTAGCCATTCCACATGTACGAGGCTGATACTCAAATCTACTTCTCCAGCTCTGAATCTAGGTCCACTGATGGCCTGTCAGCTTGCTTGTCAGACATCAAGCCTGGATGAGCGCAAACTTTCTGCAGTTGAATGTTGACGAGACGGAAGCCATATTCCTTGGCTTCCATCAAAGCCAAAGTCTTCCCTCCTGCGGCTCCAACTTCCACACCTCTCTGGCCTATCCCTAAGACCAAACCTGTGTAACCTAGGCATCAGGATCGATCCCCATCTGACCTCCATATCCCACATCCAATGGGATCGCTTTCCTCCACCTCCGGCACATTGCCTGACTCCGACCGTACCTCATGCACAACGCAGCCGAAACTCTCATTCAGCTATCTAGCTTCCCGCCTCATTTATTCCAATACCCTACTTGCCGGTCAGGTTCCGTCACTGTTTAGAGCTCTAAACCGCTATTCCGTGCAGAGCACTATACAAGTTCAAGTTGTTATTATTGGAGGACATCTCAAAATGCTTCACAGGATTGACTGTGGAGTGATTTTGTTTTCGTTGCTGAATGTGGCAGCCCATTTGAGCATAGTAATGTCCCACAAACAGCCCTGATTGTATATTCTCTGTGTTCTGGAGCTGGTTAAACAATCACTGCAGTAAAATACAGTAGATCAGAGAAAGTAAAAAGGCAGGTAAGGAGTTCAGCACGCACTGCTGCTCAAACGTCTACAATAATTCAAGAGAAAAAAGCTTAAGGTAAAACACATCATCACTTCATACCTTCTCATCAGTGGTTCCACTCCTATCAAACAGGTGAAGCATTGCAAGGTGTGTAACCAGCCACCAATTGAAGCCTAGTGGATCCTTACAGTGTGTGATGTCCCAAAGATGAACTCCTTCCATGCTGCCAACTCCCTGCAACATATTTCTGAGGTGATTGTTCAGCCAGCTCCAGAACGCCTAGAATGTACAAACAAGATTAACAACTTGCACTGTCATAAAACAATCAGTCAAACAATAATCGGAATAAAATAATTAGATTGAATTTATTTAAATTTAATTTGCCACATGCCACATTGCATAAACAGAAGCAATGGAGAACGATTCAAATAAGATGTTCAGTCTGCGTAAAAGGAGAACTTCTTGCATATTGTACAATGTGTGTCATTTGCAAGAAAAGCATCACTGATGTCACTCCTGGGTGTTGTGTTATATACAGAAAATGCTGCTGACTTCACTTCAAAGGAAGTAATGTCAGCACCACTTCTTGCACATAGAAAGCATGTGCAGCGGACAGGAAATGATGACAGCAAATCTTCCTGTGCAAAGCATAAATACACAAGAAGTGATATCAGCAGCAACCTGACCATGCAGAAGTCGGCCATTTTCTAATGCTTCATTTTAACATGAAGATCTATGTTTCTGGATCCAGACCACATCATTATAATGGCATCCCTGTGTAGTGTAATTCAACAATATGGTTTTAGAGCTAGTTTAGTGACCATTTTGAGTGAGCAGACGTCAGGAAAGGCTGACAAATAGAATCTCCAAATAAAGTTACCCCGGTGTGGGAAGCTTTCTTTCTATGATTTAGGAGCTGGATGACCAGTGCCCATAATTCCTTGACACAGCCACACTGGTAATGACAAGTGGTCAGAACTTCAGATGGTCGAACCTAAATGAAATAAGAGGAAATAGACAAAAAAAACATAATTATACCATGTCCCTACTTCAAATACAAAAAAATTAAAAATGTAGAACTTTACAATTGAAATGAGAAAATAACATAACCAGCAAATATTAAAGTGATTATTTTAGTTAACAAAACCCAAAAGTGGAAGTTTCTGGAGGGAATGATTACTTTAAATACCTCTGTTCTATTAAAGACCTGGATCTTACATAGTATAAACGTGTATGCCATTCTTGTAAACTTCGGTTCATGAAAAGCACCTTATTATTAAGCAAATTGACAACAAAATTAAGATTGTGGTTTAGTACCTAAATGAGGTTAGTATTAGATCACTGAGCCCACTCAGCTCTGCTCTGCTTTTATCAGGTGTGACCATGGAGCAGCATGACTCAGAGAGATCATTATGACCTCCCTCCCAAAGAGAATAAACACAAGCTGGTCTTCAATGATATAAAAAAAAGTTAAAGCAACAAAATAAACTCTTGCTTTATTGTAATATTTAACGGGAGAACAAAAGTTTCTACCTCAATATATCTGTTAACTGCTAAGCCAATTAGATCACGAAGAAGGTTATTGCAATGATCTTCAAACAAGCTGGTACTTGTAAGATTTTCTCCAGTCAGATTCATAAACTGATGTGCATAAACTACCTGACCTTAAACAAATGGGAGAAAAAGAGCACATTTTAAAATGTAGACAACAGGACTTATTCAGCAATTTAAAGACATAAACTTTACCATTCAGTAAATGCAAATGACATGTGAATCTATATATTTCCATACAATAATAATAAATCTTGCATTTGATACAACGCCTTTCACATCGTCAAGACATCTCAAAGCGCTTCACAGGATTTCACTGTGACATGTAGGGACTGTGTATTTGTAGAGGAACGCAACTGCCAATTTGCGCACAGCAATGTCCCATCGTTATGAGGGATTACTTAACTATGGGAATCATCTGACCATCTGTTCATACAGTAAGTGAAAAAATAAATGGCACAGGATCTGGAAATGGAAAAGTTCCAAATTTTAAAACCAAATTCTTATCTCAATCCAAAGAATATTTTTAGTTGACTGCTTCACATGCACTTTTCTTCACATTGAGTAGCTCTCACATTGGGAAACCTGGGAATTTCAATGCTAACAAAACCCAATAATAATAATCCTTGTATTTGATATATTTAGTTTGATATTTATTATTATTGATATAGCACCGTATCAGGTTATCAAGAGCTAAAAAAAACATTTGGAGTTGCAGATACTGTATGGTAGGGGAGTCTCGTCATTCATGAGCTGAAGCATCACTTCCACCAGCATCCCAAACCAGGTCAAAAAGAAATCTTAGAGGAAAACATGCTGCGACAGAAACTTCAGATGCTGTAGCTCTTAAAAAATCAAAAACTTGAAACAAAAGTACATACCAATCCAAAGCTACGGAATGATAAATTCTGAGTAGGGTAACTTATTTTTGATGCAAGAAGAGTTCCATGTGCTTACCCAACATCTTCTCCCCCAGTATGTGCAAGATTTCCAGTATTGACCAGTGAATGTCTAGATGTAGGTGCAACAAGTGCCAGGATGGTGGAAAAATCTGTAATAGTGGATAGTAGATATTTGTACTGCTTTTTTATTCTTGGGAGAGCAACATTACTGCACTTTTAAGCTTTATTTCATCAAGTCACTTCTATGCAATTTGTTTTTTGTCAGCTGGGTGTCTGACACATGCGGAAACCCATCGCCACGCTTAAGAATTGCTAAACCAAATAGAGTTCCATGATCCCACCTATACATGGACATTCCAGAGTTTTGTTTGGAATGGGATGCACACTCGCTCACTGGAGGGACGCACCTGCTTACCTAATTTCAGAAAGTTATTAGGTGCCGGTTGGTAAGAGCCAAGGCTTGGAGTGTGTGTTGGGGAACTGCTGGAGTCCAACCAGCTAAAACTGCATTGCTTTCCATCGAGAGCACTGCCAGGCAAGCTTTCCCACTGCTTATCCAGCTAGTTCCACTCTATCCTTTTGGGCTTTGGCTTGCAGGGTTCTGGTTCGCTACCTCGCGTGAAGGGTGCTATATAAATGGAAGTTGTTGTTGTTGAGTGGGATGTCTCCCTGACCCCAGTGATTGATCTGCCCTTCCAATTTCTGCTGATGAGCCAGACAGGCTGGGCCTTCATCAGCCTTGCTCTGGAATACTGTGGACCTGCCTACCTCAGGAACTGGAGTACCGAGACCACCACAGAGGGCTGGCTTGATTCCAACATTCTGTTACTAAACATGTCACCTTGGAGCCAGTTCAGCCAGTTATTTGTAATCACTTCGTGGAACAAACAAAACACAGGTCACAAACCTTTCCCTGATTTTGTGTAGTCAAGGTTCCCAGGATATTACTGGGAAGCTCACCAAGATGGCCAATGTAAAGTGTAAGCGCATGCAGTTCCTCCACTAATACAGAGGGCAGCTTAGCTTCCACTTCATCATATGGATGCACAGATTCTTCACTTAACTCTCTGGATGGTTCAAGGTACCTGTAGAAAAAAAGTTTACCAATTTTAAATAGAACCTTTTACTACCAATACTCTCTACCAAGTGGATAACACTTTGCATTACCTTCAGCTTTCTCCTCGTCAAAACAATTACTCTATTTTCTTGGTGTTAAACTAAAGCATTACACAAGGACTTACAGAATCAATGACGATTTGGAATTTCAGAATCAATGCAGATTTAGAGAATGTGTTAAATCAATTGCTATTCACTTTTAAAATATCCTCAACAAACAGTGTGTGTAGATTTACAGCTTACCTAAACAGAAACACTTTGATGTATTGGAGAAAGTTAACACACTGTTGTCTGATTTCATCTGCTTCACAATGTATGCGTTTAGCTTGACCTATTTCAGATATATAAAAGGACAAACAGTATAAGTCAACATGAGCAAACAAAACAGGATACATGTGTAGTACAAGATGGAGTAGTTACTGTCCACTGTGAGGGGATATTCAATTGCTCTCTGATGAGTATAGTGAGCCAATAACCAGGCAATGCTTGGAAAATTGCAATCCAATTGTCTAAAGCTCTCTAGAACATTCAAACTCAACTTGAAGACACTCTGGTGAGATGTAGCAACATGCCACAGGTTGCCACATGCCTATTCAAGAGCAGCAGTTATGCAGCAATTGTCATCATTGGCTGAATGCAAGTTAGGATATAGTAGTTTTAAATGCATAACAATAACAACAACAAAATTACACTTGTATAGCGACTTTCACTTCAGGAGGATGTCCCAAGCCGCTGGACAGTCAAGAGTTTCAGACCCGAGCTGGGGATCGGGATCGGGGAGGGTGGAGGGGACGGGGGGAAGCAGGGTGATGGAAAGCACAATCGAAGAGGAAGGTCTTGAGATGGGTCTTGAGGCAAGGGAGGGGGAGAGGTGGAGAGACTGCGGGGTGGAGTTCCCGAATAAGTCACAGGAAGAAATGTTCCAATATATAATTTTGAATTAGCACTCTGGGTTTTTTTGTTCGTAGACAAGAGAGGTTCAGGGTGATCATTTTTAAAATTATGAATGTCGGGAGGACATCCCAAAGCGCTGAACAGTCACAGTCAGTAGGACCCGAGCAGGAGGCAGGGGGGAGTTGGGATCAGAGAAGGTGGAGGGCAGAGAGGGTAAGAAGGTGACCGAAGGCACAGTCGAAGAGGAGGATCTTGAGGCGTGTCTTGAAGGAGGCAAGGGAGGGAGCGAGGCGAAGGGAATGTGGGAAGGAGTTCCAAAGGGTGGCTGCAGAGGCTGAAAGCCCGACCGCCGATGGTGGGGCGGGCCGGGCAGGGGACATATAGCAGGCCGGAGCCTGCTGAGCAGAGAGAGTGGTCAAGTTGATATGGGGTTAGCGGATCGGAGAGGGCAAGGCCATGGAGGGCCTTGAAGGTGAGGATGAGAATTTTGAACTCGTTCCTGAGGGATGGGGAGCCAGTGGAGACCGGCGAAGGTGGGTGTGATGGGGTTACGGAGCCTGGTGCGGGAGAGGACATGAGCTGCGAGAGGACACGAAAATATCAAATGTCATTACAAAGAGCTCTTAAAGTCCATAACATCGTTAACAAATAATTAGCTTTGCAACATTGGGGGAGCGCTGCATCATTGGAGATGCTATCCCTCAGATGAGCTGTTAAATCGAGATGTCTGCTTCTTCAGCTGTTAACAAAATTACATCATTTGAAAAGTGAGTTTCTCTGTGTCTTGGCTAACAATTCTCCAGTCAAATTGATCATTTTTAGTTACTGGCTGTTTGCGGAACACTGCTAAGTGGGTATCTATCATGCTTTGTCTGCATAGATACAGTCACTACACTTAACAGTAATGTGTTAAGCGCTATCTCAAATGCAAGGGTTGTTATTATTATTGTTAATAACCAATAATCAATAAAAAAAAGTGATTTATGACTCAATAATAAACTTGTATTTGATATTGAATGTTATGTTTGCTTCTGTTGTCTGAAAAACACTTTAAATTGATTCCGAGTAACAACCCTATAAGCATTACTGATCGGCATAGGTTGTTCTACACATTTAAATGACCTAATTGCAGCCCCAAATGACTCAGTTGATAAATTCATTGCACAGCATGCAACCAAGATGTACAGATCACAGAGGCAGAGGATCAATCACTGGTCTTGACAGAAACTATCAAACATGAGGGGAGGGAAGTAACCTGGTTGGTGACAAGCAAGAAACAAATTCCTATGCATTTTTCAACAAACTGGCCTAGAACAGATTTATACTTGCCAAAATCAAATGAATTAGGTAGAGCCATGTCTTCCAAACTGCTGATTTTTTGCCTGCAAAACAGTTTTTAAAACAAAATAAGATTCATATTTATTTACACACATCAGAGCTCACTCTCATTTGGATACATCGATCAATAAACAATCACTGACAACAGAGTCAGGGAACAATCGTACCAGAAGAACATCATTTGCACAACAGCCAAAGTGTTTGAGGATGAATTCTGAAAAACTGTGTTCCTCCAGTGTTATGAATGCAATTCTGAGTGGCAACTTAACCAAAAGATAATCAATAAAGCATAATTTGTCAATGACTCAAGATTCAATCAGCTGCACATTCTTACAAAGACAGTGATGATTCTAAGATGGACCAAACCCCCTTTTCTATGGGAGGAGGTATCTTTGCAGCTGTTGCCATCTCTTCCTCTCCTCACCAAAAATGTATGGCTATTTGAAATGAATGATCCAGTGAAATTCACTATTTCTCACCATCTAACAAACCCAGCTTGCTTTCCTTGGTTATGGGCATCCCATTCCAACTGTTACCCTAAGGGCATAAGAGATTTCACAACATTTGATCAACAACAACAACTTGGACTTATATAGCGCCCTCCACGCAGGGTAGCATCTCAGAGCGCTTAACAGTGGCAGAACCTGACTCCGAGTCGGAGGGTGGGGGAGGTGACCGTAAGCACGGTGGAAGAGGAAGGTTTTCAGGTGGGACTTGAAAAGGGGGAAGAGAGGGATTGAAGGAGTGTTCCAGAATTATGGGGCGAAGTGGCTGAAAGTGCGACCTCCCATGGTGGGGTGGAGGGTGTGAGGGACGCGCAGGAGGCCAGTGCCAGTCGAGTGGAGGCGCTGGGTGGTGGATTGGGGAGAGAGGAGGTTGGAGAGGGAGGGAGGTGCCAGGGAGTGAAGTGATTTGAACACGCGTGTGATGATCTTGAAGTCGATCCGTTCAGTGATGGGAAGTCAGTGAAGCCTGGCCATAACTGGTGAGATGTGGATATGGAATTTGGTCCGGGTTAGTATGTGGGCAGCAGAGTTCTGAATGAGCTGAATCTTTTGAATAGTGGAGCTGGGGAGACTGGCAAGGTGTGCGTTTGAGTAATCCAGGCGGAAGGTGACAAATGCATAAACAAAGGTTTTGGCTATATTTAGGGTAAGGTACAGTCGGAGGAGGGCAATATGGCAGAGATGGAAGAAGGCGGTCCTGGTCAGGGACCAGATGTGGGGGAGGAAGGACAGCTGGGGTCAAACCAGACGCCTAGATTGTGCACTGGTTTGGTGAGTGTGAGCCCAGGGAGGTCGAGGAGTTCAGCTCCACAGGAACAAAGACATTGACGGGAGCCAAGGAGTATGGCTTCTGTCTCGTCCACTTTCAGCTGCAGGAAGTTTACACTCATCCAGGCCCTGATGTCTGCCAGACAAGTTAATGGAACATCGGCGGACCTGGAGTTGGTACTGGTGGAGGCAAAGTAGATTTGTGTGTCATCCGCATACATGTGGGAGTTTACCCTGTATCTGCGGATGACATCAGCCAGAGGGAGCATATAGTTAAGGAAAAGAAGAGGGCCAAGGATGGAGGCCTGGGGTACACCACAGGTGACCAGGCTGGGGAGAAAGGAGAAACCATTTGCCGAGATGAAGTGGAGGTGGTTGGTTAAGGACTCAAACCACGCAAGTGCGGTCCCACTAAGGTAGTTGAGGGAGGAGAGTTGATGGAGGAGGATGGTGTGGTTGACTGTGTTGAACGCAGCAGAGAGATCCAGGAGGATGAGGAGGCAGAGGAAGCCCTGGTCACAGATAGAGAGGATGTCGTTTGTGACTTTGACAAGCGCTGTCTCTGTGCTGTGGGCAGGGAGAAAACCAGACTGCAGGGGCTCGAGGAGGGAGTGGAGAGAGAGGTGTGACCGAAGTTGACCTGCAACAAAGTGTTCCAGGGCTTTGGCAAGGAAAGGTAGGTTGGAAATGGGATGGTAGATGGAGAGGTAGGAAAATTGACAGGACAAACTACATCTTTCCATTGACAAGAATTCATACCTGAGTAAGCCAAAGAGAAGCTGAGGAGATTCAACAAGTGCAGTTTCCGTCACCCACTGGAAATCAAAAATGTTCACTGTGTCCGCCTCATAAACGGTTGGTGAGGGATCCAGCATTAGTAACAGCCTTAAAACAACACAAAATAATGCATGACGCACACTTTATTCATTTGAACTTCCCTTAAACAGTAAGAGAAACGTTACCCTGGTGTAGATGTACCTTACTCGTGTAGCATTTCAGAGTGCCCAGAATTAAGCAAATTGTTGAATTCAGTCTTAAGTCTATAGGAATTTTTTTATAGTTCTTCGAAGTTAAGGGCTATATTTAAGAATCTGTCAAATTCTGGACACTTTGAAATACTAAGTAAAGAGAGTAAATGAAGATCATGTGGAATTTTTCTCCACAAGTCTCCTATCCATTTCACACTTACACAAAATGCTGGAGTTAAAAGGTGCAGAAAAATTCAAAGAAATGCTCCATAGATCATCAAAAATCACAAATCGGATGAAATCCTAGGGAAACGTTTACTGAATAACTTAAACGAGATATTCTTTACTCTTAAAATGATTTGTGATCAGTGACCAAGAATGGTTCTCTTCTGCAGAAAATACTGAAAAAAACACAATTGTTATAGAAAGTAGGCTCACTTTTGGTACTAGGCACAAATCACAGATGTTTCAAGTTTAATAATAATGATGAGGGAATGGAGGGACTGGACTATGAGGAGGGACAAAGTAAATTGGGTGTGTTTACGCTGGAAAAAAGATTTAGAGGAGATATGATTGCTGTCTTTAAGATTCTAAAGGGGCTAAACAATGTAGATCATGACAGACAGTTTCAACTAATCCAGAATAGTAAAACCAGGACACATCCTGCGATTGAAGAGGGTAAATTCAGAACAAATCTACAGAAACACTATTTCAGTGAACGAATAGTAAACCTGTGGAACAGACTCCCTAGGGAGACGGTTGAAGCAGGAATTGTTGATTCCTTCAAATACAGATTAGATAGTTTTCTTTTAGCAAATAACATTATGCAATATAGTACACAAGTAGTTTGGGACATTCGTGCATGCGACCGCCAGGAAGGTGGAAGGAGAACTAGATGGACCTTGGTCTTTTTTAGTCTAACATTTCTTATGTTCTTAATTCTTACATTGATAACGTGCCTTCACTTCAGGATGTCTCGAAACACTTCATAGGATATATTGTGAAGTGTAGTGACTGTGTATTTTGTAGGCAAATGCCATTTATACAATGTCTTTAAATGTTACCTACCGGTTCAGTGATCCACTCACAAGGTAACCATCTACAGAGAAGGCTCTGTCTTCATCTCGATGGTCTAAGATACAAGAGAAACAAGGGGGTTTACAGCCCTCCACCTCCGTCTCCATCCTTTCAATAACGTATGGGGAGATGGGTGGAGTGAGAGATCCACCAAAGTCATCGTCCATTTTCTAAAAAGACAATCACATTACATTAGCACTGCTTTCAATAACAAAATTAGTTGTATAGCGCCTTTCACGTCGGGACGACGTCCCAAGGCGCTGGACAACTTCCATTTGTCTATATAGCACTTTCAGCTGGTGACCACTCATGATCAAATCGCAGTTTGTCTTCCATAACCCAACAGAATGAGCAAAACGGTCAAATGAAGCGTCCTATACAATCTTCATGCGTCATCTGTTCCATTGAAAGTAATTAAGACGCCTCAACATAATGGGATGGGGACAACATAGCCATATTAGTTTGCATTTCTATGTCCCATTTTCCACTGCCAATGCAAGTTATGCTTCTATAGGGTGCAATCTTGGATACATGATGAATTTCTAAACTCACTTGGGTAATCGGGCCAAGCTACTAGCAGAAGAGATCTGCTTCTTTATAAAGAAAAAAACAGGGCAAATCAATCGGGAGGTGGGGGTTCCTCCCTAGTGGCTTAATACAGACACTGCTGGGAGAGATTTGGGGCACTTGCCTAATATAATAAACAAATAATGAATAATCCTTGCATTTGATATACACCTTATCAAGCTGTTGAGACATCTCAAAGTGCTTCACAGGATTTTATTGTGAAGTGTTATGACTGTTGTCACTGTGCATCGTCAATTGTAGCCGAATGCAGCAGCCAATTTTAATTTCAATATACTTCTATTCTGTTTTTCATTTGTTGCAAGTCGACATGTCACTTTCTGACCAACCAACTGCGTTGCTTTAAAAGGTCAGATTGCTTTCTCGCTGAGAAGATGCTCAGAATACAGACTTAGGTTTCCGAGGCAACGATATCAAATATTCAGCAATGGGAAATAAGTATTGAAAAGATCTTTGAAAATGTTGTGAAGTACACAAACAAAAAAGAACCATTTTAAAACTCCAATGATAGGAAAACTCTTTGTCCTTTTTAGATCTATTTGCAGTTAATGCTTCTTATGGATTCCCATTGATTTGCTGATTTACAAAGTCTTCGGCAAAGACATTTCCAATAGATCACGCCTGTCTTCAAATCACATCTGAACTTTCCTTTTCGACCGTGTCTATGGTCACCTCCTCGTTCTCTAGTTCAGCGTCAAATTACACCATTGCTAAGCACTCCGAAACATTATCCCAGTAAAAGGGCACTATATAAATATAACTGCGTGTGTCAGTGTGTATATCAGGGAGTGAGCCTTGCTGTGTGTATATGTGGGAGTGAGCCTTGCTGTGTGTATATCAGGGAGCGAGCCTTGCTGTACGTGTATCTGGGAGTGAGCCTTGTTGTGTGTATATGTGGGAGTGAGCCTTGCTGTGTGCATATCAGGTATATCAGTGAGTGAGCCTTGCTGGTGTGTATATGTGGGAGTGAGCCTTGCTGTGTGTATATCAGGTATATCAGGGAGTGAGCCTTCCTGTGTGTATATCGGGAAGTGAGCCTTGCTGTGTGTATATGTGGGAGTGAGCCTTGCTGTGTGTGTATTTGGGAGAGAGACTTGCTGCCTGTATATCTGGGAGTGAGCCTTGCAACCTGTGCATCTGGGAGTGAGCCTTGCTGTGTGCGTATCTGGGAATGAGCCTTGCTGTGTGTATATCAGGAATATCAGTGAGTGAGCCTTGCTGTGTGCATATCTGGGAGTGAGCCTTGCTGTGTGTGTATTTGGGAGTGAGACTTACTGCCTGTATATCTGGGAGTGAGCCTTGCTGCATGCTTTTCAGGGAGTGAACCTTGCTGCCTGTATATCTGGGAGTAAGCCTTGCTACCTGTGTATCTGGGAGTGAGACTTGCTGTGTGTATACCAGGGAGTAAGCCTTGCTGTGTGTATATCAGGGAGTGAGCCTTGCTGTGTGTATATTTGGGAGAGAGACTTGCTGTGGGGATATCAGGGAGTGAGCCTTGCGGTGCGTGTATCAGGGAGTGAGCCTTGCTGTGTATGTATGTGGGGGAGGTGGTGATGTGTGTGTGTGGGGGGGTGTGTGTGTGGGTGGGGTGTGTGTGTGGGGGGTGTGTGTGTGGGTGGGGTGTGTGTGAGGGGGGGTGTGTGTGAGGGGGGGTGTGTGATTGTGTGGGGGTATGTGTATTTGGGGTGTGCGTGGGGGGTGGGGTGTGTGGGGGGGGTGTATGTGGGGGTGTGTATGAGGTGTGTGTGTGTGTCTGTGGGTGTGTGTGTGTGTGTGGGGGGGGGAAGGGGTGTGTGTGTGGGGGTGTGTGTGGGGGGGTGTATGGGGTGTGTGTGTGTGGGGGGGGGGTGTATGGGGTGTGTGTGTGTGTGTGTGGGGTGTATGGGGTGTGTGTGGGGGGTGTTTATGTGGGGTGTGTGTGGGGGGTGTGTGTGAGGGTGTTTGTGTGGGGGTGTATGGTGTGTGTGTGTGTGTGTGTGGGGGTGTTTGTGTGGGGTGTGTGTGGGGGGTGTGTGTGAGGGTGTGTGTGGGGGTGTGTATGGTGTGTGTGTGTGTGTGTATGGTGTGTGTGTGTGTGTGGGGGGGTGTGTGTGTGTGGGGGGGGTGTATGGGGTGTGTGTGTGTGTGTCTGTGTGTGTGTGTGGGGGGGGGCTGTATGGGGTGTGTGTGTGTGTGTCTGTGTGTGTGTGGGGGGGGGTGTATGGTGTGTGTGTGTGTGGGTGTATGAGGTGTGTGTGTGGGTGTATGTGTGTGGGTGTATGTGTGTGGGGGGGGGTGTATGAGGTGTGTGTGTGTGGGGGGGTGTATGGGGTGTGTGTGTGTGGGGGTGTATGGTGTGTGTGTGTGTGTGTCTGTGTGTGTGTGTGGGGGGGTGTATGCTGTGTGTGTGTGTGGGGGGGGGGGTGTAGTGTGTGTATGTGGGGGGGTGTATGGGGTGTGTGTGTGTGGGGGGTGTATGGGGTGTGTGTGTGGGGGGGGTGTATGGGGTGTGTGTGCGTGGGGGGGGGGTGTATGGGGTGTGTGTGTGTGTGGGGGTGTATGGTGTGTGTGTGTGTGTGTCTGTGGGGGGTGTATGGTGTGTGTGTGTGTGGGGGGGGGGTGTATGGGGTGTGTGTGTGTGTGGGGGTGTATGGTGTGTGTGTGTGTGTGTCTGTGTGTGTGTGTGGGGGGGTGTATGGTGTGTGTGTGTGTGTGGGGGGGGGTGTATGGGGTGTGTGTGTGTGTGGGGGGGGTGTATGGGGTGTGTGTGTGTATGAGGGGGTGTGTGTGGGGGTGTGAGGGTGTGTGTGAGGGTGTGTGTGAGGGTGTGTGTGTGTGTGGGGGTGTTTGTGTATGGGGTGTGTGTGGGTGTATGGGGTGTGAGGTGTACCTCTGCCTCTCGCGCCCCTCTCTGCTCTGTGTCAGTGTGTGTGGGGTGTGTGTGTGTGAGGGTGTGTGTGTGTGTGTGAGGGTGTGTGTGGGTGTGTGTATGAGGGGGTGTGTGTGGGGGTGTGTGTGGGGGTGTGTATGAGGGGGTGTGTGTGGGGGTGTGTGTGTGTGTGGGTGTATGAGGTGTATGGGGTGTGAGGTGTACCTCTGCCTCTCGCGCCCCTCTCTGCTCTGTGTCAGTGTGTGTGAGGGTGTGTGAGGGTGTGTGTGTGGGGGTGTGTATGAGGGTGTGTGTGTGTGTGTGGGGGTGTTTGTGTGTGTGGGTGTATGGGGTGTATGGGGGGTGAGGTGTACCTCTGCCTCTCGCGCCCCTCTCTGCTCTGTGTCAGTGGGTGTGGGGGTGTGTGTGGGTGTGTGTATGAGGGGTGTGTGTGGGGGGGTGTTTGTGTGTGTGGGTGTATGGGGTGTATGGGGGGTGAGGTGTACCTCTGCCTCTCGCGCCCCTCTCTGCTCTGTGTCAGTGGAGCGGTCGCTCTGTTCCCTTTCCCGCCGAGTGCCGGGTCCTGACATGCGCACTGGCTGCCCTGGCCGGGCTGGCCATGTGATTGGCTGGCAGTGTGAGGGCGTGGCTCCGCCTGTCAATCAGCGCTCCCCGGCCTGACCTCACAGGGAGCGTCTCCAAACCCCCTCCTGCACTGAAAAAGGAAAGCGTGTGATTTGTCAACAGAGGGGGGAGAGAGGGTCAAAATGGCATTGGTTAGTCCATGTACAGCAATACCTGAGCTTAGAAGTTTAAACTTAGCACAGACACGAAATCATGATTCAATCACTTATCCTTGGAGTGGAGTCCCGTAGCTCAGTGGTTGGAGCTGAACGTTCAGCTGAAGGAAGTTTGCGCTCATCCCACCCCTGAGGTCTGACAGACAGCTGACAGAACATCAGGGGACTGGGGGTCACATAGTGAGGTGGAAAAATAGAGTTGGGTGTCATCCGCACACATGTGGAACTGTACCCCATGTCTGCGGATGACATCCCCAAGAGGGACCATGTAGATCAGAAAGAGGAGGGGTCCAAGGATGGATCCTTGGGGTACCCCACAGGTGACCGGGTGAGAGCGGGAGGAGAAGTCATCTTCTATTCACTTCAAGATCCATCCCAAGACCCTGTGCTTCGACCGTGCCTTTGATCTCCCTGTTTCTCCCCCATCCCTCCACCGTTCCCCCTCTCCGACACCCAGCTCGGGTCCGAAACTCTGTCCAGCACCTTGGGACAACCTCCCGACTATAGAAAGACGCTATGCAGATGTAATTTTGTTGTTGCTGTTGTGGTTTACAGTATATTCTGTGAAGCGCTTTGAGACGTCTAGAAGACGTGAAAGGATAAAAAAAATCAAATGCAAGGATTATTATTATTATTATAACTATAGTTTGTCACACGGTCCCTTAAAATATATACTTTTTTGCACAGGGTGAAGAGAACACAAAGAGGTTAAAGATAACAAAAAGTCACTTTATCACAGTTCGTGGTTGTATGTGAGTGCTCACAAACCTGATCCACTCTGTATTTTGGAAGTAGGAGTAATTAGTTAGTGAAAAGTTTAGATTTTTAAAGAAACTTGTAGAAGTTTTCACTTGTAAAACGAATCCAAAGGATTGGCTGCATTGTTTTGTTTTGCAGGACAAAATATTATGCATCAGTTGATCGGAATATAGTCAGTGATCACAGTTAATTTGCAACAATGAACTACATACGTAAAAGCAAAATACTGTATGTATTTCAATGTCTTCTGGGGGTTGTCTCTGTTTTTCTTTTAAACAACATAGTTATGAATAAGTTATAGAACTGGATCAGCAAAAAGAAATGCAACCCATATTAAATGAATGAATGATGAGAAATGTGGCACCTTGGGGGGGGGGGGGGGGGTTCAGAGTTAAGTTGTTGTGAAATGTGTGTTTGCAGTTTTCATGAAACTAAATTGATAACCAACTGGGAATAGGTAAACTTTTGCTATGCAAATGTCTGCTGCTTATTATTCTCCACGACGAGTGGATGCTGTGATGCTCAGTGAGATGCAGTGTTGCAGTGTGAGACAGGGAATAACTGAAAAGCTTTTTTTTTCAAATTAATCCTCGATGATCTTGGTGGGGGGGGAGGTTTTATTTTATTTTTTTTTGGGGGGGGGGGGTCCCCACTTTCTTTTGAAACTGTGCAATAAAAGCTGGACAGGCGATCTAACCAGTGCGTGTCTTCTGTGTGTGTGTGTGTGTGTGTGTGTGTGGGTGCAAGAGAAGAGCAGGTCGCAGCTCTTTGCAGGGAATCTCTCAGCCTCTGTGTGTTCCTGTCTAATTAAAAAACAGTACATCACAGTTAAATAAAATTGCACCCAGGGTAACCCGTATTTCCATATGCAGATTTATCGGCACTGACAGCCCTCTCTCCCTCTCTCTTATTGTGTATGCATTCCTCTCCTTTTAAAATACTGAGACAGAGAGAGGAGAGAGAGAGAAGGAGAGAGGATGGAAGACAGAGAGAGAGAGAGAGAGGATGGATGGATGGATGGATGGAGAGAGAGAGATGGAGAGAGAAATCTCAGGCAGCTTCCCTCAATCTTCAGGAAAAAAAAAGATTCCTTCTTTCCCTTTTTATTGCCTACAGTGTCCTTTTCCGGGTGTCCTGTCAACCAGTCATTTGAGGCCATCAGTTGGAGAGTTTTGCAGATTTGCAATGAGCCACAGTGCAACAATCTGTATTTTTTTTCTCTCTCTCTCTCTCTCTCTCTCTGTCTCTCTCTCTCTTGTCCCCGAAGGAAATGGCACAACGATTTGAGACAGAGAGAGAAAAAGAGAGAGAGAGAGAGATAGAGAGGAAGAGGGGGGGAAGAGAGTTCTCCAGAGGGGAATATATTTTTGTTAGTATTGATAATATTTTATCTGACAGTTGGGAGCATTTGGTGAATGTGCTGTTATGTGCGGTCAAGTGGACTCTGTCCCTGTCTCTGGGTTTTAGAGAAGATCCCGCAGAAATAAATTTCAACATTATGTGGAACTGAGAGGTAAGAGGCACTGTGTGACCTAATATATATTTAAGGTCTTATTTAGATTTGCAGTGACTGATTTTTTTTTTTTTTTAGTACTTTTATGAAAATGCCTGGGGGAGAAAGGTCTTTGGGTGATAGATTTTGTTAACAACCACCTTAGAGAAAATAAGCGTGTAAAATTCTTCACTGGGTAACATAACTAACATTTGTGGTGTTTTTAGAGGAAACATGATTGGGTTTAATGCTATAATTTATTGTCAATGGTTGCTACTTTACATATGTTTAATATTATGATACTGTGCTCCATATATGTATGCATACAGTTGTTTACCTTGCAGAATCATTTATATGCTTATGATAAACTAATGCACTGTTGTCCAGACATTATTTTGGCAGCCTTTGTTAACAAAAGTAAGATTTTTTTTTAATCACAGGAAGCTGGTTGAAATAAAAGTAATGCATACAAAAGACAGGGGGGGAAAATGAGTGGACATCCAAAGGAATAACATGTTTTTTTTTCATTTAGCAATGCATCCTCAGAATTCTCTTTGTGCCAAGTGGATAAGAAAAATTGCAGCACCTATTAGAAATTCTAATTTTACAACACAGAGCTGACAAATAAGCTCACTCGGTGAATTATTCACATCTTTAATTTGCTCACTTAATGACAGTGTTCTGTAATCAGAGTGCAGAGGCTGCTTTACATGCATTATGTATGATGTGTGATGCCTAATGCAGGACATTATAGAGCTTTTAGTGATTCAGTAATTAGTTTTCCATAAGGCAGTACTTGGATGTTAAACTACTGGAACACATATTTCAAACATAGTATACGGTGTAACTAAATTGCATCTTCCTGGATAGTCCATCGAGACTGTCAGCAAGCTTGTGCTGTATCAAAAAGCATTAGTAGGTTCTGGTTATTTGAACTAAACCTTAGGTATCTTATTATGCAGTTTAATGGTGGCTTTACAAAACAAATTGCATGCATCTTGTGAATATGCATGGTCCTAATGTTTCAGCTAGATTGTCACCAGTAAATGCAGTTCCAGATAAGCTGATTTGTTTTCCTGCTGTTCATAATCAATTTTGTGTGCCAAGAAAATCAGGCATGTTATTTACCTTTCTGTAGATGAGGGAACATCATTTCTACTGGAATTTAATTAAAAGCATGATAACATTGCAAAACAATCTGTGTTCAACAATCCAGTTTTGTAAGAACAGTTTTTTTTTGCAGAGCCACACTTGGTTCTCACTGGGCCACAGATGTTTGTTTCATACTCTTGCAACAAGCTAGGAACGATTTGTTTTTCATGCAATGATTCAGACATGATCAGGTGGACAACACAATGTGACCTCCTCTCATCTTTTGCTGACCCATAATTCCATCAACTTAACAGCTGTATCAAAAGTTCACCAGATCACAAAGATGCAACTGACTGAACTCCACTAACATGTAGTGTAGGCCTTTCTGTTTTTCAAGGGAATTTGCATGGGTAGTTGATCAATTTGAAATCAACCAAAAAATTTCATTCTGCATGCACTTGAACTAATCAGTTTGTATCCATTAGCTTAGGTCGTTGGATGACTGAAATAATATTAGCAGTATTTTAACTGAACAGCATTTTATCTGAAACTAGGACAATAAGCAACCATTTACGGTTTTTCCTCTTAGCTTTTCATTCAGGATGAAAAAAGTCTTAAGAAAAGGAACTCTGCAATTTTATTTCACATTTCACTATTTCTAATGACTCGTCTTTTTTTGTTTTTTGCTTTAGTGTGTAATATAATAGCGGAACACGAACTGTGACAAAGTGGTACTGCGGGTGAAACACTCCAAAACTGTACAATGTAAAACGGGAGAAAGCATCACAGCTTGGCTGCAATAATTTTCACTCTTCCCTGGTTAAATAGGCTGTTAACATTCATGAGAAGAGGGGGAGGGGAGAAGAGATGTTGAAACATTCATCAGAATAATGGTACCTTAAATCGCACCTTGAACCAGACATAAAATGTGCCTCCTGCAGGAACGCCCATGAGTATGCTGCCACCCTGTGAGAACTCAGCTCTGGACAGATCTTGAGCCAAAGTTGCCTTCTCATGGGTCAGTATGACACACATGGCTTCCCTCCAGGAAAGATACACATTACGTCTCGAGATACTTTTACTGGCTCAAAGTGCTGTTTACTTTGCTGATTTCCCAACAAACACTTTTGAACAACAACAAATCGCATCACCATGTCTATGGTAAATGCCGTAAAGTGCTTCAAGAGTTTTCAACAACATGCTGAGGCCCTATATCAATTTCATGATCGTTTGTGGGACACCCCTGTGCGCAATTGGCTGCCACGTTTCACCCACAAAATATATAGTCAATTCACTTTACATTATATTCTTTGAAGTGCTTTGAGATATCTCGAAGATATGATAAAGCGCTATATCAAATGCAAAGGTTATTATTATATTATTAAATAGAGCAGAGTTAGTAAAGTTGTACGTTTTATAAAT